CCGCCCGCCCGCCCGCCTGCCTGCGAGCCAAGCTAAACAGAACTATTCTATTACTTTTACGCCGGACGAGAAAAACCCGTCTGCGGCGCTTTAGACTCCTTTCTTGAGAAGGGAAGCATCACGTCGGGCGGCGGACGGTTCCAGCGCCCGGAAACTCGCCTCTTCCTGCCTGAACGCAAGGCGACCTTCCCGCTGATGGGCGCGAAGGGCGTCCTGCCCCTTTGACCCGCGCCTCCCGAGCCGAGCAGGTGATTATTATTATTTTTTTTCGAAGGAGGGGGGCGGGCGCGGAGGCGGGAAGGGCCGGTTCTTGAGCCCCAGGGGCGCTTGAACGTTTTACCCTCTAAGTCCGCGGGGCTTCCTCCCAGGAAAGTGGATGCAGCCCACGGGTGGCTTACCTCCAGCAACGAACTAACTTGGGTAAGTAAGTAAGTAAGTAAGTAGGTAGCACTGCTTCCCCCCCCCCTCCGTTTTGATTCGGATTGCGGTGCAGTTTCAGGGTTAAGCAGGAACGGGTGTCGGAATGGTAGTTCGTAGCCATTAAGGGAGATCTCCAGTAAATTTTGGACGACTTGGTGGATCCTTTTTAAAAAAAAAAACAAACCACGATTTATTTATTTTTTTTTACAGCTTTCACACTTCCTTTCCCGCTTGCACGATTGCCCTTTCTCTTCCACTGGACTCGTTTCTCTATTTTTCCGGTCCCAGGGGAAACTCCACGTTGTTAAAAAAAAAAAAAAAGTCCATCTTTGGTCCGCTTTTCAGAAGTTCCCTTTTCTGGTTTGAACGTTTTCCGTCAGCTTTCCCAGATAGGGTTGTCTTATCAGTAAAGAAGCTTTCTACTATATTTCCAGGAGCGTTTTTTTTTTTCTCTAGGTGAACCTTTGAGACATACAAGCCTTGAGGCATATAGGTGAAACGACATGTTGGTGCAGTCTCTGGATGCTGGATGGTGGCTGCTTTTTGTTTTCTCTTTTTAAAGAACATTCTTGGTTGAGACTTTTACCTGAAAGCCCTTATTGCACGCTGCAAATATATCCAGTTATTTTTGCTTAGATGTCTTAGCCTGTTCTGCGCTGTGGGGTTTCTTTCTCTTCATAGCACTTGGCTGTGGGATGACTGAAAAGTCTTGTGGTTCGGGAGGCATTGTAGGAGGAGAGCTGTGTTAGCATAAATCAGGAGGAGTCTGATAGCAATTTTTCTGACTAACAAATTTTATTAAAGACATACACTTTTGAGAGCTGCAGTGACTAGACAATTTTTCTGACTAAATTTTTTTTTAAAGGCATACACTTTTGAGAGCTGCAGTGACTAGAAGGATGAGAAGGGAAGGGAAGATAGGTTGATTATGCAGATTACTTTATCAATTTAAATGTCTTTTGTTATATTAAGTACTTATTGTAATGTGTTAAAACATTGTATTCAATGAGGCCTTTTGAGAAAGCCTTAAACCTTCGGATGTATGTAAGCTCAATCATTTCAAAGATGCTGTTAAAGCCTCTTTTTTTTTCAAAAGAATCACTTTGAGATCCACAGTAGAGGGTTTGAGAGGTTGAATCACTCTGAAATTTCTTTGTCCTTGTTTTGAGTCTGATGTCAAACTTGTGCCCATTTGTTCTTTTGTCCAAAGTTTATCCTGTTTGTCCTAGGTAAGGGACATTGCTGGAAGAGCATGACAAGTATCACATAACACGTAATGGCTCTTCTAATCTTGCGTGTGCCTGGGCCTATGTTGGTGCTGTTGGAGGACATATAATTGATTTGACAAAATAAAATGTGTAGAAAATTTGTAGAACACATGCTATAAGATTCTTTATGTAGTTCAAAAAGATAAAGGCTTTTGACTTTTGACTGCCCACTATGGATTCTTTTGCAGTCTCGGTTATTCATTTCTACAGTCAGAATAAGTTTCCAGGGATTGCTTTGGTGGTAATCATAGGGAGAAAATATTTATTTTGTGAAGTTTGATAATCACTGATTATCACTTAAGTGATAATTTCTCACTTGGACCTTTATGGTAGCACTTTGTAGAAGTTGTCCTCGTGATTGGAGAAAGTAAGGAATGTGTCCCTATCCATTAGTTTAAGACAGGCTAATGAACAAATAGCAATTAGTTCCTGTTAAATGTCGCGTTGGCATTGACATTTTTTGTCCAGAATTTGCTAGAATTGTTAGAGAAAGAGACATGTTTCTAATTGCTTCATTATTATGATGCTTGGCAGCAATCTGATTCTAATTTCCTACTGGAAATTTCCAGTATGAGTTTGCTTCTCTTTCTTCTGTGCTGCCTCTTTCTAAGATATAGTGGACTACTTTGGACAATACCTGAACTGGGCAACCGTGCCTGCCTGTGTCAAAGTAAGCAACGATAGCATAGTCAGCTCTGAAGAAAGAGGTGAATCAAACGAACAGCAGAGATGGGCCAGCCGTAGTTTCATAAGCAATGTCACAACTGTTTCTCTCATGAAGGCAGATCTTTTTAGAACAGAAATGCATCTTACATTTAATGCAGTGTGTGTATCTGTATCTGTACATGTATATCTATATTTGTTATATAATATGTACGTATGCCAAACAGATGTCCTCCAGATGTTGGACTTCAGCTCTCAGAATTCCCCACTCAACAAGGCCATTTCTAACAATTCAAGGAATTTAAATCTATGTATCTGCAGCTATAATTTTTACAATCCTCTCCCACATTTTTTTCTATTCAATTAACAAAATACCTTTGATGGGTTATTTTTCTTGAATTTTTAATTTTGCAGTTCCAATATTTTTTAGCTCTGGATTATATTCATTTACCCTTCACTAAATTTCAGCAGCAACTCAGGAGGATGGTAGTTTTCTCCCTCCAACTGGATATTCTTAGCTTCTTTAGAAGTTTAGAGGCGGTGTATCATATCAGAATATCATGAATAACATGGCAATTGGCATGAATGGGGTTGCAAAGAGTTTAAGAGGCAGTTCCCACAAGGACAGATTGAAGATCGTCTATCGCTTGAAGTGATATGATAAATATATTGAATCATTTAAAGGACCGTCACAATGAAGATAAGCAATCTGATGTTCTGTTGCTCTTAGGCGTTAGACCAAAAGTAATGTCTTCCTGGGAACAAATGAAGGGGAAAATAAGTCCTCAAGATGAAATTTTTACAAAAATCATCAGCTGCTTTACAGTAGAACATTACCCTTGTGAGGTAGGAAAGTTTTCTCTGTTAGAGGATTTTTAAGGAAAGTACAGTGCTACAATGGTAGAATTTCTACTACTTCAAAAAATGGGTTTATGTTACTATTGGGGATCAGTGCTGCTGTATCTCTATGATTCTATTAGGAGTAGACTTAAATCTGATCTTGAATCTGATCTTACCGCTAGTCTATCGATATAAGGGCTAAAGAACTCCAAACAGTCATTAGATGAAGCAAAGAAACATAGACATTCCTGTTTGCTGTCATCAATTTATTGTTTGGATTTTTGCAGTTCTGGTGTGAGAGCCCTGTACCTATATAATTGTGGTTCTAATGACTGGTTGCCAAGTTGTCACTAGATAGAAAAAAACCTATCCTAAATTAACTTTTTTTTTTTTTTACTATTTTACCTTCTTTTTTTTTTACTATATCATCCTGTCTCCAGTCTTCCCTTTCGAGAGAAGGTTGTTGAGAAAATGCTTGCCCAGCAGCAGCTCCAGGGGTTTCTGAATGAAATGGATTATCTGGACCCTTTTTAGTTAGAGTTCAGGACTGGATATGGGATGGAAAGGGCCTTTTTGATGATCTCTATCCTTGCTATACTTTACTTGACCTCTCAGCGACCTTCTATATCATTGACCCTGGTATGCTTCTGAGCAGCTTCGGGGATTGGGAGTGGGGGAGGGCCTGGTTCACTTCCTTCCTCTGTGTTCAGGCTCAGTTGGTGTTGATAGGAAGCGAGAGGTCTAGCTCTTGTCCCCTGCTTTGTGGGGCCCTATAGGGCTTGGCACTTTCTCTGCTTCTGTTTAATATCTACATGAAGCCGCAGGGTGAGATCATCTGCCACCATGGGCTGAGATATCATCAATATGCTGATAACATCCATCTATGTCTTGGCCCATGGTGAGTTAACTGATGCCATGACTTCCCTCTCGCAATGCTTGGAGGCTGGATGGGGAGCAACAGACTGAAACTGAACCCTGGCAAAGCCAAATGGCTCTGGGTTTGGGGTTCTTTTGTCCATGAACAATTGCCATCTCTGGTCTTGGATGGGTGGCACCATCCCAGACAGATCCAGTGTGTATTCTGGGGATTCTCCTGAATTCACGACTCCTGTTCGAGGAACAGGTGGCAGTCGTAGCCAGGAGGGCCTTTGTGCAACTTGGGTTATGTACCAGTTATGCCATTTCCTGGATGAACAATCGCTGCTCACAGTAGTCATTCCTGCCCTAGTCACCTCCCATCTTGACTGTTACAACCCACTGTACATGAGGCAGCCTTTGGAATCTGGAAACTTCAATTGGTTCAAAATGCGGTGGTTTGTATGGTTTTGTGCAGACTTAGATGTGAACATATGTCATCTCTCCTCCGGGAGCTGAATTGGCTGTTTCCAGGTCCAATTAAGGTGCTGATTGCCACTTTTAAAGCCCTGCCTGGCTTGGGACCAGGTTATTTGAAGGTCCATCTTTTCCCGGTCACATCTACCCAATCCACCAGAACATGAAGGCAGGGAATGCTACAGGTCTCCTCTCCTAAGGTGGTATATCTGCTGGGACCAAGAAGGGCCTTCTCCATGGTGCCTCCCTACCTGTGCAACATCATCCCTGCAGAGATAAGATTGTCCCCCACTTTGACACTCTTTTACAAGACTGTGTTTTGTCAAGAGGCTTGGGAAGCTCAGAATGGGATAGAGCCCATCAAGTGGCTTATTTGATTGATGTTGCCAGGGTAGTGTGCGTGGGGGAGGGGGGTATTGCTTTTTATTGTTTGTATATTGGGTTTTTATCTTTGTAAGCTTCCTGAAGTCCTGAGAGTGAGTTGGACAGTCATATGCATTTTCTTAAATAAATAACTAAATTGCCACTTAGTGTTGCGCCTTGCTGATTGCTACTATCAACTTACCCACTTTCCCAATTTTGAGTAATTTTGTAATTATAACTGAACACATGTGCACCCCCTTTTCAAATCCTAGCAATGGGCACAAAAGTGCTCTAGAAATACACATATGTACAAAAGATTGGGCAGCAAGGCTTTCGTATTCTCTTTTCACCTGCATGGACTT